TACCAGCAGTTAAGAAATAAAGATGTAGGGAGCTCTGGTGGCCTAGTGGCAAGAAGCTGCACTGCAGTCCCAGAGGTATGTGGTTCAAATCCACCAGATGCTTTGCTGGAGAAGGAGGGGCCATCTCCTCTTGTACTAGTCAGATCCGATTTGACGGTACACACACTCAAAATAATAAAATAAAAAAAAAAGAAAGAAAGATGTGCTGCATTGGGAAAATCTGTTGTCAAGAAATTCTCCATAGTGCCAAGGAGCAATGATGCCAGTTTAAAGATTAAGATGCTCCTGATTCAAAATACTTTTCAATTACTTCCTATGCATATGAAGTTGGACAATGAATAAGGATGGCAGAACAAGAACTGATGTCTCTAAACTGTTGTTCTTGAGAAGAGCACTGAACATCCCATGGACTGTGAAAAGAACAAATATGTCTTAGATAAGGTACACCAGGGAGCCCCTAAGAGGCAAGGATTGTGAAGCTTCCTTCCTCTCACATAGTTTAGGCACATGTTGTTAGGAGTGGCTAGTCCTTGGGAAAAGACATCATGCTTGAAAAGCTGGAAGGTCACTGAAAGAGAGGAAGACTCTCAACAAGATGGTTTGTCACAGGGACTGTAACAATATGGTTAAGTATATCAGGGATGATGAGAACAGCACAGCCTAAGACAAGGTGCATATCCAAGGGCTGCTATGAATTGTACTCGACTTGAGGGCTCCCAACAACTTTATACTGGAAGGAAAGAGAGATCCAAAGCATTACTGAACCAAAACCAAGTAGAAGGCCTTATACTTCTTTATCTCAAAGCTACAACACAGTCACAATAATCAAAGTAGCTCCGTAGTGGACAACAGACACACAGACTAATGGGACTAGAATTGAGAACTGAGAAATAAATCCATACATCTACAGACAATTAATCTTTGACAAAGAAATGAGCGTGACTTGAAAGTGGGGAAAAGACAGATTCTTTAACAAATGATGTAGGAAAAACTGGATATGTATTTGCAGAAACCTACAAGAGATCTATATCTTACATCATATAAAAAAAATGAACTCATCAAGCTGTTGTCTGCACAGAGCGAGAGAATACTGCATGGTTTGAAATCAGCAAAGGTGTACAACAGGGTGTATCCTTTCTCCATACCTATTTAATCAGTGCATTGAGAAAATCATTAGAGAAGCTGGATTCTATGAAGAAGAATGTGACATCAAGATTGGAGGAAGACTCATCAACAACCTGCATTATGCAGAAAACACAACCTTGCTTGCTGAAAATGAGGAGGACTTGAAGTGCTTCCTGCTGAAGATGAAAGACTATAGCTTTCAATATGAACTGCATCTCAACATCAAGAAAACAGAAATCTTCACCCACTGGACTGATAAGCAACATGATAGATGAAGAAAATACTGAAATTGTCAATGATTTCATTGTACTTGGATCCACAACCAATACCCTTGGTAGCAGTAGTCAGGAGATCAGGAGATGTACTGCACTGGGCAAGTCCATTGTCAGGGATTTCTCCAAAGTACTGGGGAGCAATGATGTTAGTGTGAAGACTATGATGTGCTAGATTCAAGCTATGGTCTTTTCAATCACTTGCTATACCTCCGAGAGCTAGACAATGAAAAAGGATGACAGAAGAATTTATGCCTTTGAATTGTATTAGAGAAGAATGCTAAAGATCCCATGTACTGCCAAAAAGACAAAGAGATATGTCTTGAAGAAAGTGCAGCCAGAAATCTTCTTGAACTCAAGGACTGCAAAGCGTTGTTTGATACACTCTGGGAATGTTGCTAGGAGAGGCTATTCCTCGGAAAAGGATATCATGCTTGGAAAGTGGAGGGTCAGTTTAAGAGAGGAAGACCCCAAATGAGATGGATCACACAGTGACTGCAGCAATTGGCTCAAGTGTGTCAGAGATGATGGTGGTGAAGGCACAGAATAGGACAGGGTTCAAGTTTGTTCTTCATAGGGTTGCTATGAGTCATACTCGACAGTAATTAACAAAAACAGCAACAACAATAACATACCCGTCAAAAGACTTCTCCAAAGGTATGAAAATTAGACCTATTGCCTGGGAGAAAATATTGGCACTGACACATCTGAAAGTGACTCATCTCTAAAATTTAATTGAAAATTAAACACCCCAACGAAGAAAACCCAAATTACTCAATTATACACTGGGCATAGGACATGAAAAAAAAAACCAACACTTCACCAAGGAAGACATTCAGATGCTTAACAAATACAAGAAAGAAATGCTGAAGATGATTTATTTCTACAAAGATGAAAAACAGTTCTCATCTTATTCCAACAATAGCAAAGTTTAACAAACAGCAAACAACAAATGCTAGGGGTAGGTGTGTGTGTAGAGATTAGAACTCTCACAACACACTGCTGGCAGGAATGTAAAATGGTACAACAGAAAAGAAAGCACTCTGGTGAAATACCCTTTGATCCAGCAATCCCATTACTACATATATGCTGTTGTTGTGTACCACAGAGTCAGAACCAATCCACAGCTGACACTCTAGAGGATTTTCAGAGGCAGTTAATCACATGAAAGGAGACTGCCCATCCTTCTCCCACAAAGCAGCTGATGGTCTCAAATGCCTTTGGATTTGCAGTGCAGCTTCTTGCCACAAGGCCACCAGAGCTCCCTAAATAAATAAGAGCCACAACATGAATGGATCTATGCATATCCACATTTATTGTAGCATTATTTACAATAGCAAAGAGTTAGAAACAACTTATGTGCCTCTCAATGCACAGTTATTTATATAAGAAATAACTGAAGAAACTATGGTACATTCACACAATGGAGCATTATGCAACACTAAAGAACAATAAATTTTTGAAACAACAAAATGGATGACTTTAGAAGAAATTATGCTGAGTGGCAATAGTCAGTCACAAAAGAACGATTATGGTATAATAGCACTATTTCAAAAGCTATGGAAAGATTTATACATAGAATTATTCTTGGATGGTTTACCAAGGTTGATAAGGAAAGGAGAGGGGAGTAAAAACACTAGGTGAAGGAAAAAGGCAATATATAGTAAGTGGTAAATCAGACATTATTGTTGTTGTTGTTAAGTGCTGTCGAGTTGTAGGCGACTCATAGTGACCTTGTAAACGAAAGTCCTCAACACTTGTGTGACTTTCATCCTCTCTCCAGGTTCAGAGGGTTTCTGGAGGCAAGCTATTATGGAAGTGGATGCCACTCCTGCTTCCAAGCTTGTTTTAATTGGGGAGCTCCACCCAACACTATCCGCCATCAGTGAAAGTTAATTCCATTTGTATTTTGAATTTCTGAGATCTACATTAATTCCTACTGTTGTTGTTGTTATGTGCCGTTGAGTCCCTTGCGACTCAGCCCTGAAACCTGCTCTGTCCTGTGCCAAGTTTATTGTCACACTAATTCCTAGAACCATTTTAATGAATAGGATTGAAAGGAAAAAACAGAGAAATAAGAGATAACATGTGTTGTTGTTATGCACATTGGGACTAATTCATAGATGACCCTCCAGCAGGTTTTCAGTGGCACTAAATCATATGGAAAGAGATTTCCCATCATTCTCCTGCAAAGAGGCTGCTGGATTCAAATTGCCTGCCTCTGGGTTGGCGTCACAATTACTTACCACTAGGCCACCAGAGCCCCCTAAGAGATAACATGTAAGCAATAACAATAGTGGGAGTTTCAGTAGCAGATGTAATGATGATTCTCACCAAAACAGTCATAAATTTTACAGAAAATTGGGACTCAAAAGAAATAACTTTGTTAAAACTATGTGTACTTTATAGAAAAATAAACTCAACTAAAGTGAAAAATCAGTGTTATATGAGTAAGTTTTAATCTATTACCCTTTCTACCTACCTACAAAACCTTTTCAGTTCATTTATAGTTTTAATGTAATTTAATCTTAAATGAATCAAAAAAAACAGAAAAAAAATTGCCAACAAAACATGTTTACCTTCCGTGCTTTCACAATTAAAGCTGATAAAATTTTCCTTCCACTCTCAGCAAGAAACATCCTGTTTGCTGTTTCTGAAAGAATAACCTGCAAATAAAACCAGTCCCAATCAATGAAAAAAGAGATACATAATTGATCTGCATGCACAACAGACATTATAACAAATCTATGCAAAATAACTAATATAGTTATGGTACTATATGTGGTGACATTTCAGCATGCTAACTGTAACAAAATTTCTAATTTATTAAAATAACTCTTAGAATCTTTCATAAAAAAAGACTCTCTGGAGGTATATATGCATTTAAATTCTGTTCAATTTAAGATCAGAACATCTAATATAAATTTTACAGACCTCCCAAACATAAGATATCAGACATTTTTGTTGGCAAAGGACCTTGTTTCATTTTAGAAAGTCAAAGATTCAAGTGATTCAAATGAAAAACACCTGAGGAAGACACTGACTGATAATAAGAAAAAAGACCTTAATCAGCCCTTGCACACACCTTCAGCATCAAAATGTTTCATTCTGACAATGTATGGTGGATCTGGGAAGTCATGAGTGAACAAAATGATAAATGAGGCTAAGTGAAGGGATGTATCAGGAAAGGAAAAGACGTAAACTCTTATTAGCCATTAGGCCTAGGGATCAGAAAAAGCCAGGAGCTACTCTGCTTTATATGCAGCTGGACTTTATAGTGTGAGGGTGAAAATGGATGAGTGGCTGGTTGAAGAGGCTTAGTGTTTAAAAAAAAAACCAAAAATACCTGAAAAGCCTGTCGAATACAGTGAAGTTTGGCAAGAAAATCACTGTCTCCGAGGCACTCCAACATTTCAGTTCTAAGTAATAAATGGGAGAAAATCGTTAAGCTGGATTCAAGATCAAGCCTACTACAAATTTGGATTAAAAAAAAGGCTTAACCTCAGGATCTTAAAAGAAAACACATGTTCTCTCAATACTGACAAAGTCAGAAAGTACAAAAATGTTTAAAACTTGGACCTAAAAATGTAGTTCTCCCTACTATCACGAACATTTTAATAAATAAAACACAAACATAGCAACAGTACCTTATACTTTTAATTTAAAAAAGTAAAATTAAATTGATACCTAAGTACTCTTGAGTAAATTTTTCCTTCTTCTACTAAATGCATGGCTTCTTCATAAAAAGGGCACTGGCAAAGAGACTCTAGGCTGTAGGTATGCCGTACTTCCCTGTGCTCTGAAAGCTAAAACAGTGGGATAAAATAGGTGAAAATGCAAAACAACTATGAGATATCATCTCACCCCAGTCAGAATAGCAAAATTTAACAGAACAGCAAGCAACAAATGCTGGCGAGGTTGTGGAGAAACTGGAACCCTTATTCACTGTTGGTGGAAGTGTAAAATGGTACAACCACTGTGGAAGGCAGGATGGTGCTTTCTCAAAAAGTTGCAGATAGAGATACCATTTGACCCAGCTATTCCATTACTAGGAATATACCCCAAAGAGACCATAACTGACACCTAAGCAGACATATGCACACCCATGTTTATTGCGGCTTTGTTCACAATAGCAAGGAGTTGGAAATAACCCAGGTGCCCATCAACAAATGAATGGATAGAGAAGCGGTGGTATATTCACACAATGGAATACTATGCTGCATTGAAAAACAAGGAACTCATGCAATATTATTCAAAATGAGTGACCCTGGAGGACATTACTCTGAGTGAAATATCTCAGTCACAAAAGGACAAATACTGCATGGTGCCACTGTTATAAAACAGGAGGAATGACATTGGAGTTGGGGGCTGACTGAGAAAGATGGGTTTAATAATGTATACTGCATTGAAACAGATGAGTGAGAAAACGGTTTAAAAGGGATATGTGAATAGGTATTTTTGTCATGCCAGGAGTCCAGATCGAAGGCTGCATAGTGGAATGGACCTTGGGAGAGGGATTGTAAAACAATGAAAGAATTTTTCTTTTACTTTTCCAAGAGGGTAGTGTACTGGGGTGGGGGAAGGTCGGGAGGGGAAAAGAGTGTAACAATGAATGAATGGAAATCCAAAGTGTCTGTAAATTTTCATTGAAATTAATATTAAATTTAAAAGAAACAGGTGAAAATAATTACAGAAAAAATCATCAAAACTACATTTGTTGAAATGGTCATCTAACAAAGACAAAACTATAAAAACCTATCATTATGCCCAATGAAAAAAACTGCAACATGTGTAAATCAAACTTCAACAGATATGAAGAGAGAAGCAGACTATTCCATAATAATAATAGAAGACTTTAATACTATAGTTTGGTTAAAGGATGGAGCAACAAGAAAGAAACAGGCTCTCATAAACATATAGAAAACACTCTTCCCAGGAAAAGAGTAATTGACATTTTTCTGTGTGTTGTGCAACAATGAATGAATGAAAATCGAACTTCTCTGTAAAATGTTCATTAAGATCACAATTAAAAGAAAGTTATAAGAATATACAGTTTTCTCTAGTGCATATAGAACATTTTCAAGAAGAGATCATAAATTAAGTCCAGCAACAAGCATCAAGAATTTTTTAAAAAACCAAATACACACCAAAATATTACAAAGTATCTTCTCAAATTATATTATTATAAAATTAGATCAAAAGAAAAACTCAACAAAAAGCAAACAATTTAAAAAAATTAGATATGAAAAACAAGGTCAGGATGGGGGGAGATCAAGTACACAGAACAAATATTCTGCTGGAATACTATTGAATAATAGGTAAAATTGAAATATTTCTTGAAACTAGAGTGAAAGCACAACATAACTAAACTTTGGGAAAGGGCAAAAGTAGTACTTGAGAGGACAATTTATATCAACAAACACATTAAAAAAAACACACCAAAAAAACCCCACTCAAATCAGCACCTTAACATCTCCAATAGTTAGAAAAAGAACAGCAAGCAAAGTTCAAAGTGTCTAGTTGTTGTTGATTGCCTTCAAGTTGAGCACTACTCATAGCAACCCTATGAACAAAAGGCCTGAAGCCCCTCTACAACTATTGACATTTATCAAAGTTCATAGAGTTTCCAGAGGCATGCTGTTTAGGAAGTAGATAAAAAGAAATGAAATAAATGAAAAATAAATAAATGAAATGTGAAAATAACAGAAAGAATAATGTTAAAAGTTGGCTTTTTGAAAGGATTAATAACATTACAAAGAGCAAAGCAAATCTAACAAAGGTAAAGAAGGTACAAAGAATATGAATAAGGAGCAAAACAGGTGATGTTATCAGAGAACTAAGTGAAGTAAAAAAGGATAAGTAATAGTATAACACTCTGAAGTACTATACTCCTACAAATTTGAAAACCTAGAAGAAAATAAACAAAGGTAGAAAATTTGAACAGACTCATCACAAAAGAAACTAAACAGTTTATAAAAACACTCATAGATAAAAAATCCCTAGCTCAGAACCTTCACTGCTGAGTTCAACCATTTAGAAAAGGACTGACCTCAATTCCACTCTTCAACTATTTTGATGTTGTTGTTGTTATTGTTATGTACTGTCGAGTCACCTGTGACTGGTAGCGACCCTATGTACAACAACCCTAAACCCTGCTCTATCCTGTGCCAATCTTACTGTCTCTGATACAACACCCCCATTACCCCAGTCACTGAATCAATCCATCTCATCGAGGGTCTTCCTCTCTTGGGCTGTCCCTACACCGTCCCAACCATGACGTCCCTCTCCAATGATTGATCCTGCATTGAAACATGTCCAAAGTATGTCAGGCGAAGCTTCAAAATCCTTGCCTTCAAGGAGCAGCCTGGCTTCACCCTCTCCAGGACAAACTTGTTTGTTCTTCTACCAGTCCATGGTATATGTAATACTCTTCTTCAGCTCAAAGGCATCAATTTCCCTTCTATCATCTCTAGACAATGTCCAGCTCTCTGATGCATACCAAGTAATTTCAAAGACCATGGCCTGTATCAGGCTCATTTTAGTCTCTAGACTGACATTGTTGCTCTTCAGAACTTTTGGAGAGATCTCTGAGAGCAGACTTTCCCAGTGCAATTCATCCTTTAGTTTCCTGGCTGCTAGTACCAAGAGTGCTGATTGTAGAGCCAAGCAATCTGAAGCTGTTAAGAATCTCAATCTCTTTACCATCTATCATGATGCTGCCAATCGGCCCCATCAAGAGAATCTTTGTTTTTTTGATGTTGAACTTGAATCCATGTTGAAAGCTGCAGTCCTTGACCTGCTGCAGCAAGCACTTCAGGTCCTCCTCAGTTTCAGCAAGCAGAGTTGTGTCATCTGCATAATGCAGGTTTTTGATGAGTCTACCTCCAATCCTGATTCCACATTTTTCCTCATAGAGCCCAGTCACCCAGATAATCTGTTCTGCATATAGATTGTAAAGGTATGGAGAACATGGATGCAAAAATCATCAACAAAATTTTAAGTCTATAGAATCCACATAAGAAAGACTAAAAGCGTTTTTCTTGCAAACAGGGACCAGACAAAGATGTCCACTGTCACCACTTCTTTTCAACATTGTATTGGAAGTGCTTGCTAGGGCAATATTAAAAGAGAAGGAAATAAAAGGCATCCGGTTGGGCAAACAGATGGTTAAACTATCATTGTATGCAGATGATATGGTTGTATACACAAAAACCCTAAAGACTCAACAAGAACAACAAAAACTATTAAGAGTTAGTAGGCCAATTTATTAGAGTGACAGGATATAAGATCAATATTTAAAATTCAGTAGGATTCCTCTATAGTAACAAAGAGAACTCAGTGAGGCAAATCATGAAAGCAATACCATTTACAATAGCTAACCATAAATTGAGATACTTGAGTATGAACCTAACAAGAGATATAAAAGACCTATACAAAGAAAACTACAGAACATTTCTGCAAGACACAATAAAAGACCTAAAGAAATGGGAAAATGTGTCCTGTTCATGGATAGGAAGAATCATATTGTGAAAATGACAACCCTATCAAAAGCAATCTACATGTCAACACGATCCCAATATGGATACCAAGTTCATTTTTCAAGGAAATCAAAAGAGAAATTGTCAAATTTATTTTGGGAGGCAAGAGACCCTGAATAAGCAAAACATTGCTGAGAAACAAAAATGAAGTGGAAGGCGTAGCACTTCTGACCTCAAAACCTACTACACAGCAGTAGTAACCAAAACAGCATGGTACTGATACAATGACAGGCACATAAATCAATGGAACAGAATTGAGAACCCAGAAATAGTGTCAGCTATATATGATATATGACAGGGAAATAAAAGCTATCAAATGGGGAAATGACAACCTCTTGAACAAACAGTGTGGGCAAAACTGGACTTCCACCTGCAGAAAGCTGAAACAGGATCTACATCTTACACCATACACAAAAATCACCTCAAAGTGGATCAGAGACCTGGTAGTAAAGTCCAAAACTATAAAGTTCATAAGAGACAAACTGGGACCAAGCTTAGAAGGCATAGTCTATGGTATAAAGAGACTACCAAATACAGCCAGAAATGTACAATTGTACAATCTCGAGAGGATAAAATTGAGGAATGAGGAATGGAACCTTCTAAAGATTAAATCCCTGTGCACATCAAAAATTTTTTCCAACAAGATGAAAAGAAAACTGGGAAAACGAGACTGGGAACAAACATCTGGCAATACCATCTCAGACAAAAGTCTCAGAATGAGTTTACAGAATCCTACAGTGCCTCAACAAGAAAAAGACTGAAAAACCCAATTACAAAATGGGCAAAAGACAAGGAAAGAATTTTTACAGAGGAAGATATTCAAAGGGCAAACAGATACATGAAAAAATGTTCCAAATCACTGGCAATAAGAGAGATGCAAATCAAAACCACAATGAAATACTGTTTCACTCCAGTAGCAGTGGCAAAGTTTAACATGGTAGCAAGTAAAACATGTTGGAGAGGATGTGGTGAGAAAGGAATTCTGATACATTGTTGGTGGGATTGTAAAACGGTACATTCTGGAAGGCAGTTTGGCACTTCCGTTAAAAGGTGAACATAGAAATTCCATATGATCCCGCTATTCCACTGCTTGGAAAATACCCTGAGAAAATAAGAATTGAGGCACAAACAGATTTGTATACCAGTGTTCATAGCAGCGTTGTTCATTGCAAGAATGAATGGCATTGCAAGAACATGGAAACAGCCCAGATGTGAAAATACAATCAAATGGAAAGGGAAATTATGGGACATTCACACAATAGACTATA